CGTGCCATAGACCAGAGGAAAATCTTGAAAAACTGCATGCAAGTACATATTTAGAATTGTCTCTGCCCTACCCACACTGAGAGGGCAGGGATCGGGCCAAACTCTGGGCCTCATTAGGGTACTTGCTCTTTCCCAGGAGGCTCTCAACTCTCCCAGGCAAACACATTCCAGGTAGTCTGCCTCATCAGTCCCCCTGCCATGGACTACATGTGACTGGTAGGGACAGGATGGCAGACACAGGGCAGGTTATCCCATCATTTTCCTGCATCTGAGCTTCCATTAGTTGGAAAAAATGAGTAAATCTGTGCATTAGGAGTAGGGTCCTACAAAAGGGTTGACAAATAGAACTTCCCCTCTTGTTAGGTATACAGGGGAGGGAGAAGAAGGGGACAGGGTAGGGGAGGAAGGGAATCCATGTTATCAGACAAAATGACGTAAAATGATAGTTGTGTCGACAAAAAATGAATCAGTGGATTTAAGAAAGAAAAGGAAATTTTTATTTGAGTCAAATTTGAGGGTTACAACCCAGGAAAATCATCTCAGAAAGTTCTGAGAATTGTTCTGCCCGTTAGAAGTCAAGCCACAGTTATATAAGTTTTCTGAGACAGAGGGCTGTATTATTGACGTATAATGACGGATTATTGACAATTTACATAATCCACATCTAAGCACCATGAAGGACTGTTATCTTTAAGGAATTGTCTTATTGGTGCTAGGAGAACATCGCTCTTATGGTTGAGCAGGTATTTCTGTCGATGGGGAAGGTTTGGGCCATGCATAATACAGATATACAATGCACAGTGGGAGGAGAAAGGAGGCCAAAGGGCAGCGAAGATTTTTTGTTTAAATTTTTCTTGTCTTGCCTTAAAATGAATTTAATGAATTTCATTTTACAGCTGTTTCCATGGCTAGAAACAGATTTTGGCAGCCATGGCACAGACTGAGGAGTCCTTAAAACCATCGGACCAGAGGAACTGGATTGGGGTGGGGAACAGGGTGGGAGGATGGAGGAAAGGGGAGAATTTTATGCGTTCTAACATTATGCTAAGATCCTTTCCTGTCTCAACCTGTTGGTGCTACTTTCCCAGAGAAGGCAGAACCTCGGAACAGAGAGGGTTCACCCACCTTTTACTCCAAGGTCTGCCCACTGTTCCACTGGCAGGATCAGTTTTCACAAGGAAGAGACCACTTTCTTAACAAAGCTACCAAACAGTCCCAGAAAGCCCTCCAGATGCTGCTGCTTCAGAAATGACAGGTGCTCCTTGCACGATCTACATTTTATGCCAAATGCACAGGAATTCCCCTGTGGCCGCCCCCCCTCACGTGTTTGCCACTTCCTGTGAGTCCTCCCAGATCTGGCCCATCCCTCCGAGGCCCTTTCCCATTCAACAACCCTGCACGTCTTCTCACCATCTCGCTTTTCTTGACCCCATTTATTTAGGTGGGGCTGATCAAGTCGGAGAGAATTCCTGGCTGGGCTCAGCCATGCACCTCCAGCTGAGAGTGACCCATGCTACGTGGGTTTTTGAAAATGACCAGGTCATGGTGAGGGCATTTCACTGAAACCCTGCTCTAAAATGTAGGTGGTCAATGCCTTACAAAGGAGGAGCAGCGTGAAGGAACGAACAGCTCAGTTCGTTGCTATGGCAGTGAAAGAAACTTTACTTGATTGGTGAAAATTTGTCCAAACAAATGCTAGGTGAAGTGTTCATATTTCCTTTGTCTTTTTTTCTTTCTTTTTTTTTTTTTTTTTTTTAAATTTGTTGAGCACCGCCAGAAGAGGATTAGGGGGGCGGGGGTTGATCAGCTCTGGCCAGAATGCTAAATCTCAGTGACTTCCCTGGATTAAATCAGGCTCCAGAAAGACAGCCATTTTCTCATCGCTGCAGTGCCTCGGAAACACTAAAACAGCAAAAGTTCACTGAATGCCCATTTTGGAGCAAAGCTAGACGGAGATGGAGAGAGGTAAAGATGAAAAAGACATAGTCCGTGTCCGAGTTGACAAGCTAATGAGAGAACCAGACATGTAACTCTAGACATACAGTGGATCCATGTGTATTACATAATGTGGTCCAAGTGTGGTTCCCCGGGTCCCTGAGACCCTCTTGGGAGTTTGAAAAGTCAAAGCTGCTTTCATAATCATACTAAAACATTATTTGTCCTTTTTCCTTCTCCTTCTCTCATGAGTTTCCCCAGCCTACAGGATGTGTAATAACACAGAGCTTAATACGTGGATGCTCATGCATTCTTGAGCTAAAAAAGAAATTCTCAGTCAATTTCTAATACATCCATGTCAATAGGTAAAACCACATACGCGAAAATTCTTTGAGATCCTCAATGATTTTTAACATTGTTAAAGGGATCCTGAGACCAAAACTTCTGAGAGCCTCTAAGATTGAATGTCATCAACCATTACGCAGTGTCCTCATTCTCACTGGTGCATTTTATTGATTAAAAATTATGTCAGGACTTCCCTGGTGGCGCAGTGGTTGAGAGTCCGCCTGCTGATGCAGGGGACGCGGGTTCGTGCCCCGGTCCGGGAGGATGCCACATGCCGCGGAGCGGCTGCGCCCCTGAGCCATGGCCGCTGAGCCTGCGCGTCCGGAGCCTGTGCTCCGCAACGGGAGAGGCCACAACAGTGAGAGGCCCGCGTACCGGGGGGAAAAAAAAAAAAAAATTATGTCATCAGGGACTTCCCTGGTGGTCCAGGGTTTAAGACTCCGCACTCCACTGCAGGGGGCACCGATTCGGGTTCGATCCCTAGTCGGGGAACTAAGATCCCGCATGCCACGCAGCCACAAAAAAAAAAGATATAAAAAAAATTATTTCATCAAAGTCCATGAAAATTATTTTCTTGGATGCTCTCTCTGTATCCCTATTTTCCAACATGATAGCTCTTTGGCCATCTAATTATTAATCTGTTTGCAGCGTTTTTTATGTGTCTGCATTTAAATGTCTTTGGGGGCAGCACAACATTGGACTTCATTTTTTTTTTTTTTTTTTTTTTTGTGTTACGCGGGCCTCTCACTGCTGTGGCCTCTCCCGTTGCGGAGCACAGGCTCCGGATGCGCAGGCTCAGCGGCCATGGCTCACGGGCCCAGCCGCTCCACGGCATGTGGGATCTTCCCGGACAGGGGCACGAACCCGCGTCCCCTGCATCGGCAGGCGGGCTCTCAACCACTGCGCCACCAAGGAAGCCCTGGACTTCATTTTTTAATTCAGCTAACAATGAGCAATAGTTGACTTGTTTTATGTTGTCACCTACAGTTCCTCCTGCTCGTTGCTATTTTTGCTTTCTTTAAATTTATATTTTCTGTAGTGCACTTTAAAATTCTTTTTTTGTGTGTGTCAGGCAATAAACTTCCCTAATCTGTTCATCTTTCTATCATTTTAGCATCATCAGATTTGAAAGTCATTTTTCATTGTTTCCTATATTTTTGCTATTAATAGTATAGTATTAAGAAAATAAAACTTAAATTCCTTTTCCTGTAGAGATGAAAATGGAGTCTAGTGTGTAACATATCTTGGTGGCATAAAGTCCTTTATAAAACTATGCCTATAGGTCTTGTAGTTCTGACACTATGTAATGTAATTTTCCACTTGATTTTTAAACAACATGTTTTCTGGGCTTCCCTGGTGGAGCAGTGGTTGAGAGTCCGCCTGCCGATGCAGGGGACGCAGGTTCGTGCCCCAGTCTGGGAGAATCCCACGTGCCGCAGACCGGCTGGGTCCGTGGGCCACGGCCGCTGAGCCTGCGCGTCCGGAGCCTGTGCTCCGCAGCAGGAGGGGCCACGGCAGTGAGAGGCCCACGTACCGCAAAAAAAAAAAAAAAAAAAAAAGTATTTAAAAAACATGTTTTCTATTTTGTCCTCCATGAACCTTGAGCTCTATGTAGCCCTCAACTGTTCTCAAATCTGCATTGTTTTCTGGAAGTGAACTTCACAGCTGTGGGCCTTTGTTGACAAATTATTTCATCTCCTCTGGGTCTTAACTTATTTTCCCTTGCTCTGAAGTGAAAATTCAGTGAGTGTTTCCAGATACTGTGCTTGGGGTCATAATTCAATTTCTCTTAATCTTGTGTGAATCCTCCAACCCCCGCCCTCAACCCACATTCCTCCTCCAAAGCACAGGTACCTATTCTTATTGCCATATTTAAATGATTTTCTTGGCTACGCTGGTAACTTGCAGAATTCTGGATTTGCTCTGTGATAGGGTAATGTGTATGGTTTGGTTAGTTGTTTTTAAGTTGAAAAACTTAACAATACTATATCTTAAATTCTTTCTTTGAAGATTGAGCCTTAATGAATTCTTGCTACAGACATACCAAGGTGGTTATTTCTATATTTCTGTGATAAATTCTAAATTAGTAGGGGTTTCTCCCCCCTGGTCCTTTTACTGTTACTAGATCAATTTTTAGCTGGATGTGGGCTTTTCAGGCTAGCTTTGCTTCAACGATGCTCATTGTTTTTTCTTCTACGTCAGGTCCCCTCTTCCTACCATCCTGTTCACGTTCTTGGTCCTCTGTCGCATTTATAAGACCTACTTTAACAGCTTAATGCCTTTTTTTCTTGGCACTCATTATTTCTTCTGTATTTGCTGCTAAATTAATAAGTGTACATTCCATTGCACTTGCCTGAGAGTCTTGACCCGGTCATGGGTTTCCCGCCATCTGGGTTCTGGCTGGCTTGCATTCCCCTTTGATGTTGTAATATTGTTCATTGAACTTAAGTGTGGGATTTATAGGGCTTCTTTGCTTTTTTTTTTTTCTCCAAAATGTGCACTTTTTTTTTTTTTAACTAAGCTTATTTTTCTGTTTTGTGCTGTTATTTTTAATTGCTTCCGACTAGGAGGTGGGGCTGAGAATGAGACTTGCTTGACTTTGGCTCTCTGTGCTATTACTCACACTTCCCCAGAAGCCCTGTGCACACTTTCTCTCTGCCTTTGATATACCACTTTTGAAAGGCCGTTGATTCCTGGAGTAAACGGCGTTAAGAGGAAGACGGGCTCAGGGTAGGGATGCTCTGGAATCCGGTCCTGTACAATCATGAGCCTGGCCATCTGGAAGTCTCTTCTTGCTCAATGAAATGGAGTAAACATTGTCCATTATGAAATCCACCACACAGGCTGCCAGGGACGAATGGGATCCCACCCAAAGCCAATCGCTGCTCTGACAGGGAAATTGGCTAGGACTGCCTGAGACTAAACCAGCCTCCCCCATCCCTGATGTCACAATTCAGAGGCCGCTGCCTGCCTAGGAGGTTGTAGAAAGCTCTGTAGGTTCTCTCTGTGTGTCCTCCAGGGCTCCTCAGGCCAGGTCCCTGTCTGATGGCTTTTATGAAGAAATATCTCCTCCCCATTCTGGGGATCTTCTTGGCCTACTACTACTATTCTGCGAAGGAGGAATTCAGACCAGGTAAGTACCAATGTGTCTAATTTTGGAGGAATAGATTTAAAAACCCAGGGATGGCTAGAGTGTTTCTGAGGATAAAAAGGAGTTCTTGATCCCCAAAGTTTCTGGACAAGAGGGGACCCTGAGGTGAGACTGTGTTTCTATGTCTTCCAGCCACAGGCTGGGTAATAGGGGTGTAGGGAGGGGTAATCATCGCGTTAGAAGATTACCAAATAGTCCATGTTTTATTTGGCACCTTTGATCAAAAGCAATTTCAGATCTCTTACCAAAAAAATAGGGCTATTCCAAAATTCACAACTTAGCCAGATAATTGGGCTCTGTGGAGAGATGGATAAGTGGGAAACAAGAAAGAATTCTGGAGTTGATGACTAAATAGAAGTGAGAGAAAATATCTGGAATCTCTCTGAGCACATGTGTTTTGATGACTCTGAATTTTATTTCAATTGAGCAACTGGATGAATCCAGAAATGTCTGGAACTCCAGTGTTTTAGCTGTTCTCTTTCCATAGGAGTTTTCAGAAAAGGACAGCAGGAAGGCTTGGTTTTGAGCAACCAAAGCAAACTCCCATTTCAGAGAATGTTTACGGAAGAGTTGATCTGTTCCTTCATTGATTTATGCAAGTTGAGATGAGTTGATCTGGGCTCATAACCTTTAGACACTGAGATAAGGCTGTCCACCTCTAAAGTGGGAGGAGGTATGTTGCTGACAGCTATGGTCCTTATTTTCTTTTGGGGTTTCCCAGAGATGCTTCGAGGAAAAAGAGTGATTGTCACAGGGGCCAGCAAGGGGATTGGAAGAGAGATGGCCTATCATCTGGCGAGAATGGGAGCCCATGTGGTAGTGACAGCGAGGTCAGAAGAAGCTCTAAAGAAGGTGAGGGTCCTGTGCCCACAGCCATAGGTACCCTCACGTGCCCAGATGTATTCCTATGTATGCTCACATATACATGCCAACACACAGAACTGGCACACTCAGACATAGATGCATACTCACACACACACACAGAGGGTTCAAACACCCAAACGAATATAAAAATATGCATTTAAGTATTCATTCTCATGCATACATATCTAGACACAAAGTTCTTGGGCTCTATCTCTATCTATGAGATAGGCATGCCTATTCACACACATTGACACATGGAGTCACAGACATACATATATGTGCTCAGATACCAACATTCCAGGACCTACTCAGGAATTCATACTCTGGTACCCATGCAGACACATGCTCTCTTATATACTCAGACTCAGAAACCCAAGGATACACAAATATTCACAAACTTAGGGCTACACACACAGGAACTAGCATCCCTACCAATAACGTGTTCAGAAACATCTGTTTACAGAAACTCATGAGCACAGACTTAAACTCCAGCACAGTGATTTATCCATTTATACCCTATCTTATTCCAGACAGTATTTCAAACAGGGGACTAATATTGTGTCAGTTGCATTTAGCAACACACATACACACACACACACACACACACACACACACACACACACACACACACCCCTACCAAAACAGGGCTGTGAGCAACCTCTCATTTAAACCCCCATTATGTCAGAGACTGCCCCCCAAAAGTCTGCAGCCGAGATTGACACCATGGCCGCTGTGCCTCTGCAGGTGGTATCCCACTGCCTGGAGCTCGGTGCATCCTCCGCACACTACGTTGCTGGCACCATGGAGAACATGACCTTCGCAGAGCAATTTGTTGCCAAAGCTGGAAAACTCATGGGTGAGACAGCTTCTCCTCTCTCCTCTTCTGGACTTTGCCCTAGGGATTCACCAGGGAGCTTTTGAGACGGGGAGGAGGGGGAGAAGGTATCAACCTCAGATGGTTTCTCTCAACACAGCCGTCTCTTACAGGGGGACTAGACATGCTCATTCTCAACCACATCACCAACACCAACAATCCTATGACTGTATTTATCGATGACATTGACCACGTGCGCAAAAGCATGGAGGTCAACTTCCTGAGTTATGTGGTCCTGAGCGGGGCCGCCATGCCCATGCTGAAGCAGAGCAACGGGAGCATTGTGGTTGTCTCCTCGATAGCCGGTGAGTGGGGCAGGGGCCAGTGCGGAAGGCAGGAGTGGCAGAAGTGCCGGGGATGGTGTTGGGGGCTCTGCAGTGAACATGTATGTTATCAGTTTCCATCCCGAGAAGTAACACAATAGAAACTGGAAGCTGAAATGCTCACAGTGATATTAAACAGCGTGCCCAAATGCGTGGACAGGCAGATGTACGAATAAGAGCCTTGGTTATGGAAACTCACCGAGATGCATGCACGCTGAGTAAAAGACACAGTGTTAGGAACAAGTGAGACCATGAAAATGAGGGCTTGTTCAGGGTGGATAGACTACAAGATTCCTGGAAGTAACAGAGGAAGAGCAGCAGTTCGGAGTGCTTCCCTGAACTCGCCTGGTGGTTTGTGATCAACAAATGGGAGTCCAAAGGGTCATCGAGAGGCTGCTGGAGGGACAGCCTGTCCTGAGTTTCAGGGCGAGACCTGGTCATCATAGAGAAACAAGATTTTGCTTCTTCCATGACCAAGAGCTCTAGGTTGGTAAAGTTAGTTGATACAAAGGTAGAACTGAGAGGTGAAGTGTTTTAACAACATACAGTTGTCTGATAAGTGGGTTGAGCCAAGACCAAATGAAATGAACAACAAAAACAAATGCACCGTATTATAACAGACCTGCCTATATTGGGGTGTTCTCCAAAATCCGAACTTGCTACATCAAAAGTCCATTTTAATCCACCAAGAGGGTAGGGAGAGAGTGTGTACAGAGAAATATAAAGAGAACTCTGCGTGATCAAGAGGAGTGCCCTATGCTTCGGAGGGTGACAGCATTCGAAGTTATCACCAGTGAAAAGACAGAGAGTTTCCAGCTTGGGGGATTCCTAGGCCCCTTTCATTATGGGTCCAGTAGAGAAGTTCCACACGTATTTGTCGATCAGTCCGTTAGAAGGATGTGCATGGAAGATGCAAACACCAGGATCAAAATTAGCCATCTACATGTGATTCCTAGCAATGTAAAAACAAATAACTTAGACTTTGTAATTTCTTAAGTACTTCACAAACATTAGTTATTACTGTGACTCAGAACACCATCTATGTTGTAAAGAGTTCTACTTCCAAGACGGAAAAGGCCTGCATAGTGATCAGTGATCAGATAAAAGGGCAGTGTGTCTGTTCTACCCGCCAAACAGGGTGATTGATATGCAACCCTGTGCTTCCTGGACAACACAGACTCCCCTGCCCCTCCCCAGACACAGCCTCTCTCTGGGCTGAAAGGAAGGGAGAGCTCCTGGATGCATACTGAGTGAGAGGGTGCTGGGCACATCCCCAAACCACCCTAGGGCATTGGCCCAAACCCTCGCATCAGTCATGGTGTAGGTGGCTTTAATGATCTCAGTTGAATAAGTAATATATCCACTTTAGGCAAAGGGGGTTTTACAGCCTTACAACACTACAGCCTGAATGTTCTCAGAAGGAACAGAGTAACTGTAGAAGTCCAAGAGTGTGATGAAATTCTGATAACCTCTGCTTCCACACATCTTCTCCACCTACCAAATGTCACCTCGTAATTTCTATGGACTCTGGGAGGTAGAAATCTAGCTGGACTACTAACCTTCATGTCTATTGTTTGTATAGCCAAAAGTTCAGCCTGTTCGCTTTGAAGCATGTCTGTGAATTGGCAAAGTACAAACACTTTGCTTTCTCGCCCTAACTGAAGAATTTCTCTGCTCTAGGCTATATTCTTTTTTAAAATTGAAGCATAGTTGATTTACATAAGCTATGTTCTTTCAGACAGTCAGCAAATATGTTCCTTAATCCTTCCTCCGTAAAATCTGAATTCCACAAACATGGAACGCTAAACCGCAGATTGGTCCTAAGGTCAGCCAAAGAGTGTTGGGTTGGCTTTTTAATAATTCTTTCCAGGGACTGCCTTAAGTGGTTTATTGAATTGCAGTAATCAGCAATTGTTTGTATCCCCAGTGCATTTCTAGGTATTGTGTTACATGGAAATCCCATACTTTTAATACGTTCTTTAAAGCCTCAGCTATTTCTTTAGCATCATCAAAGACAGTATGGCTGCCTCTGGGAATTTCCTTACAGTCCACATCCATCCACCACTCAACACTGTTTCTGGCAGCTACTGCTCAACTTTCTATGTATATGTTGCATCGATTAGTCTCCCCTCCTTCCTCCACATGCTAGTTTGGATATATTTTGAGCTACTATCACAAAAACCTAAATTTACAATGGCTTGAACAAATAGAAATTAATTTTTCTCTCATGAAACAGCCTGGGGTAAGCAGTTTAGAGCTGCAATGGGAGTTCTGCCCCATGGAATCGTCTAGGAACCTTCTATCACAAAACCACCATCCCTGGATGTTATCCTCACCTGTATGTCCAAGGTGGCTCATTATCATGTCAGAATTCTAGCTAGAGAAAATGGAGAAAGAAGAATACAACTTGAATGTCATATACTTCTGCTACAGCTGATTGCAGTTGTGGACTTTATTCAAGGTGACTTGTGTCCAGCTGAAAATCAGGGGTTCTATTTCTATAAAAGACACTGATGTTGACAATTAACAGTCTCCCCCATATCACCCATGCATATAAGACCAGAGGCAGTATTCCCTCTAGGCCACCCCACATGTGTACCTCACACCATACACACACACCCCAGACCCAATCTCTCTCACATTCAGGTCCATCACGAAAGCAAAACCCCTTCCACTGATGCAGGAGACAGTGGGGCAGGAGAAAGAATGGGAAGAAAATACCTAGATGGTATTTGTGAAACAAACTGAGACAGAGAGATTAACACTCCAATTTGCCTGAGAAAAATCACTGGATTGGGCACAGAACATTTGAAAACATCTGGAAAAAGTTTATTTGCCCTGAGTCAAAAAGGTTGTCTTAGGTTCAATTTTAGAAAAGGAAAAGTCATTCCATTTTTGAATTCCCTGGTTCTGTGAACCCCATAACTATGGTAGTTACACACATGACAGCTGGACCCAGCATCTAATACTGCTTCTCTGCCCCTTCTTTACTCCCCCTCAGGGGGATCATGGACAAACCTGTCACCCCCACCAACAGCCCCACCTTTTTTCCTCTAAGGATCCATTTAATCTCACCTTCTATGAAGACTTTTTCAGTCCTCACCAGCTTCCTTTAAACGTTTCCTCTTACCTACTACATTTTCCTAAGTTACCTTTGGAAATCCTACTTCCTCTCTATTTCTCTTTTCTGGCTTCACTGGTGATACAAATACTAGCAACAGCAATTATAGTACAAATGCCAACCACACTGGGCCGGCACAAGTGTAAGGATGGTGATTCGTCTGTATCAAGAAAAATCCAAGGTCTATTTTGAAGTGAAACTAGACATAATAAAACACTGGGTTTCTTTAAATATTCAAAGTGAAAAACACATCAAAAGGAGTAAAAGAGCCTTGCCAATAACCCCTGAATGCTCAGATCTATCTTTGGAAGCTCCATTAAATGTCTCCAGTTACCTATTCATTTTTATCCAAGTAAATCTTCTTTTAAAAAGATCAACTTTATATATATATATATATATATATATATATATATATATATAAAGTTTAAGTTTAAGTCTTATTCAAATGTATTCCTTTCCTGGTTTACTCATTCCCAGCATTGTTTCATACTATTTTTTAGACAAATGTGTAGTATTTCAGGCTCATTATAAGCTGACTAGCCAGAGGCAAATACCTTGTAAGACAATGCTTTTGTGGGAAAACTCAAACCAAGGCATGAAGTCACTTGTTGGACCTTAAACTTTGTCGGTTGAGGGTTGGCTGTGCAGTCCAAACCTATTTCAAGAATTCTACATTACAAAGAGGAAAAAAGAAACAGATTTCTCAACTACACAGACCAACTAACAGGATTTGGAATATGCAAAATGCTGCTCTGTATAAAGACAAGAATGTACAGGTGTTAATCTCATGCCCCACCTTCACCTCTGGCACACATTTTTTCCTAAAAGATAGATCAATGCTTAGTGTATGGATGTAACTTGAATGAGGGGGAGAGGGTGGCAACCAAGGTCTAGGATGCAAAGGAGACTAAGAAATATAGTAGAATGGGGTAGTTTATCCCTCACCCAATTGTCCTAATTTTTCTAAGAAAGATGAATCTTTACCCTTAAACCTGATTACCTCAGAAATAATTTTCAGGGACCGCAATTTCCAAGGTAAGTGGGAGTGTATGCATGTGGATACAGGTATTTACGTGATGGGGGAGTGCTGCAGATTTGGACTGTGTGGAGGGGCGTGGGGAGAAACACAGGGAGGTGAGGCCGGTGTGCGTATAGATTTGGATTGAGATTACTATGTTTTGGTACATTCATTAATGGATGTTATTATATGTATTGCTGTATAAAAACACTCATTGCTATGGGAAAATATTTGTAATACAAAAATCATGCTACAAAACAGTGTGCATACTTTTATAAACAAAATATTTATGTATATAGAAAAACTGGAAGGCAACTGGAGTTAAATGTATATTGGGTGATGGAATTATACAAATTTTCCTTTCTTAAAAATATTTTCCAAGTTGTCTGTACTAAGTATGCAATCAGAAACAAATCTAATAAAAAATGTTAAAGCATAGAAAAAAAAAAGGAGTTCAGAGTAATAATCAACAGCCTGGACATAAAAATTTCAGGAGTCGTTGTTACCTAAATTCAAGAGACTGGGCTCAGGCAGAATCTGGAGGATTGAAACAACTTGATGCACTCGACATTGGAGTTCAGTGTTGTATCTGTCCCCCCAGGAGGGGTAACTGGAGATTTTAAAGGGGAAGAGAAGACTCCCTGCTGATGACAGTGACAATTTAGTGCAGGCTGAGAACACTATAATGCTATCCATGTGACCATTACTCCATTTACTCCCTTGAAAGGGGTGGGTGGGAAGAGCTTAAGTAGCCATGGCTCCTTAACCCTGCTGGACCATTATTTTTGTTCAAGTACTGTTCTTGACAAAAATAGCAGGGTTCTACCATCATCCATGCCTTTA